ACGCAGCATAACGCAATGCAAAGATCCCGGGCTCTCATCAACCTCAGCCGGCCCTGCCTCCGCATCGACAAGGGAGTCAAGGGACAAGGATTGCCAGTCAACACTACGCTACAACTTGCAGCTTCGAAACCTCTCTCTCCAACCTGGCGGAGTTAAGCCCAAGGGTTGTAGTAATGGGCAACGGAAACGCCGTTGAATGGGACCGATAGGTTGCCACGCCAGACGCCACATTTTACCGATCTGCAGGCCCAGCGACACATTCACGGTGTCGTCCAGATCCCCGACTATCTCCAGCTTCACTCTCGTGCACCCTGACAGCAGAGTATATCTGCTCAAGTGTTTAACCCGGTCTGGATCTAGCCACCAAAGGACCATCGCGGACAAGAGCGACTGTGACACATATCGAGAAATATGATGCCGTCTCACTCTTCAAGCGCTTTCTTGGCATCGAGTGATGCAAACAAGAATGCGGATGCCCCAGGCTTGGCTTTACGCTAGGAAACCGTGGAAATGATGCCTAACTGAATGCCCATTATGACGGGCAAAGACAAAGGATGCATATATGCAACATAATCGTGGAGAGAGACTAACAGACAGTGCCTCTTCCCGGGTTGATACTCACCAATATCATCCGCTCCTACGGTCCGTCCCAACCGATATGGCTATACCCACTCGAGCTCAATAATCAAGGTCACAAAAGCAAGCTCTCTACACCTCTCGATCCATCTACACTGCAAGAAGCTACCGTTAGACCCAGCTCCCATCCGGCCCACTCCTACACCCCCCACGCTGATCCGCCTTGCCGATGTTCCTTTCTTCTATCCTAGCAATGTCTAGCTTCCTTTCCAGGGCAGATCGGGTCGATCAGTTCTCCATGCAACTCGGCCATGCTTCTTCGATCAAGTGACCTCTTGACACTTGTATCTAGCGTACGGTTGCCCTACCCACGGGACCCCTGAGCTACTTTTTCTTCCCCCAAGATTACGCTTTGGATAAAGTCACCTTGCTTCCCGAAAGCCCCTGGCCAGGTACAAGTTAATTTGGTACATGTTGAGCTCCCACCATCCCGAGTTAGCCTGGTATTGCCTGTACGTACACTCTCGAACTTCTGACCCGGGTATGCTTACTCAGATAAAGAGCGGTTAATTCTCGGAAGTAAGAATGGAGGGTCGCCCCACATGTGCCCCGGTTGAGAGTCCCGGGGAAGTTGTATAAACTACCCGTCTCCTCCCGGTTCAAAATCATGTAGCGTACTCCGACACTCTTACCTGTTCTATCTGTCCCATTGTTTTCCATCTGTATTTCAAGAACGCTTGCTGAATACTAAACATTGCTCGACGATAGACTCCCCTCGACGATTCATTGGCCACTCTATCCGTTGAGACTTCTTACACCGAGCTCTCACTCACGGACTTCAAGATCAGCCAGAATGACTTCACTTTCCTCGATCGCCGTTGGGGGAGGCCCCTTTGAGCGGGATACCGATCCCAATGCCTCCCCTGCCAGCAGCATCGACAGCAACACTACCCCCGATACCGACTTCACGCCCATGGGAAGCCCGTTCCAAGAGGTGGTCGTGCCCAAGAACAAGAGGTTCCTGGCGAAGAAGAAGTTGGCAAATCTGACACAAGAGGAGAAGGTGCGATATTCGACATATTTTCCAGCGAGACCGATAGGAAGCTGACAAGACACAGATTTCCCTCCTAACTGCCGCAGACTTCTGGAGGACAAAGTCCATTCCGGAGAAGGGTATTCCTGCAGTAAAAACAAGTGATGGACCCAATGGTGCCCGAGGCGGTATCTTTGTTGGCGGTACCAAGGTGAGTTTACAACCATCAAGCTGGCCAATTTTGTTTTAGTGCTAATCCTCAAATAGGCTGCATTATTTCCCTGCGGTATTTCATTGGCCGCCACATGGAATAAGGCCCTCCTCCGCGAAGTAGGCCGTCATTTGGCCGACGAAGTAAAGGCTCGTCAGGCCAACATTCTTCTCGCACCTACGGTCTGCATGCACAGGCATCCTCTGGGTGGAAGGAACTTTGAGTCTTTCTCTGAAGATCCTCTTCTTACTGGCAAGCTTGCCGCTCAGTATATCAAGGGTCTTCAGGAGAGGGGTGTGGCTGCTACCATCAAGCGTGAGTTCCACCCGTTTATTGACCTGAAGAGGTATAAAGCTAACATAAGACAGACTTTGTTGGCAATGAGCAAGAGACACACAGATTGACGGTCAACTCCGTGATTGCCGAAAGGCCACTCCGTGAGATTTACCTACGGCCATTTGAGATTGCCGTCCGCGAGGCCAAGCCATGGGCTGTCATGTCTTCTTACAACCTTGTAAATGGGGTTCACGCTGACATGAACACCCACACCTTGAAGGAGGTTCTTCGGGATGAGTGGAAATTTGACGGGTGAGTGACCACCATTACATCTCCTTGAGGGTAACAAAGTCCACTAACACCGAGACAGTGCTGTCATGTCCGATTGGGGTGGCGTCAACTCTACCGCGGAGTCCATCAAGGCCGGCTGTGACATCGAATTCCCCCACTCCAACAAATGGCGTTATGAAAAGGTCATGGAGGCCCTGAACAAGGGCGAACTCTCCCAGGCTGACATTGACAGAGCGGCTGAAAACGTCCTGACTCTTGTCGAGCGAACAAAGGGAAGCGATCTGACACCCGAAGCTGCGGAAAGAGAAGATGACAGAGAGGAGACCCGTGAGCTGATCCGCGAGGCTGGCATTCAGGGTCTCACCCTTTTGAAAAACGAAGGCTCAATTCTGCCCATCAACCCCAAGACAACCAAGGTTGCCGTCATCGGCCCCAACGCCAACCGAGCCATCGCTGGAGGTGGTGGAAGTGCCAGCCTGAACCCCTATTACACTACCCTGCCTCTTGATAGCATCCGCAAGGTTGCCGAAAAGCCTGTTACCTATGCCCAGGGCTGCCACATCTACAAGTGGCTCCCTGTTGCCTCTCCTTACTGCTCCGACAAGACTGGCAAACCCGGTGTCACCATCGAGTGGTTCAAGGGTGATAAGTTCAAGGGAGAGCCCGTAGTCATCCAACGACGAACCAACACCGACCTCTTCCTCTGGGACTCTGCTCCCCTCGCCCAAACCGGCCCCGAATGGTCCGCCATCGCCACCACCTACCTCACCCCCAAGCACTCCGGTAAACACACCATCTCCTACATGTCCGTCGGCCCCGGCAAGCTCTACATCAACGGCAAGCTCTCCCTCGACCTCTGGGACTGGACCGAAGAAGGCGAAGCCATGTTCGACGGCTCCGTCGACTACCTCGTCGAGCTCGAAATGGTCGCCAACCGCCCCGTCGAACTCCGCGTCGAAATGACCAACGAGCTCCGCCCCCTTTCCAAGCAAAAACAAATGGGCATGACCCACCGCTACGGCGGCTGCCGCATCGGCTTCAAGGAAGCCGACCAAATCGACTACCTCCAACAAGCCATCGCGGCCGCCTCCTCCGCCGACGTGGCCATCGTCATCGTCGGCCTCGACGCCGAGTGGGAATCCGAGGGGTACGACCGCCAAACCATGGACCTGCCCTACAACGGCTCGCAAGACCGGCTTATCGAAGCCGTCGTGGCCGCCAACCCCCGCACCATCGTCGTCAACCAGTCCGGTTCACCAGTGACCATGCCCTGGGCCGATCGCGTCCCTGCCATCTTGCAGGCGTGGTACCAAGGCCAAGAAGCAGGTAACGCCCTGGCCGACGTCCTCTTTGGTCTGCGCAACCCCAGCGGAAAACTCCCCTGCACGTTCCCCAGACGTCTCGAAGACACGCCGGCGTACCATAATTGGCCGGGCGAGAACCTCGAGGTTATTTATGGAGAAGGTCTCTACATTGGCTATCGACACTATGACCGCTCGAAAATCGCGCCGCTCTTCCCCTTTGGTCATGGTCTTTCGTATACGAAGTTTGAGTATGGGCGGCCGTCGCTGTCTAGTCGCGTGTTGAGGGAGAATGGAGTTATCGAGCTGTGTGTGGCGATTAGTAATGTGGGGGAGTATGATGGGGCGGAGACGGTGCAGGTGTATGTGAGGGATGAGAAATCCAAACTGCCGAGGCCGGAGAAGGAGCTGGTGGCGTTTGAGAAGGTGGCACTGGAAAAGGGGGAGACGAAGCATTTGAGGATGGAACTGGATAAGTATGCTGTGGGGTATTATGATACAGACAAAAAGGGGTGGGTGGCGGAGGAGGGGAGGTTTGTGGTTTTGGTGGGGAGTTCGGCGGGGGATATTAAGTGAGTTCTTTTTTTCTTTTTTTTTTTTTTTCTCTGTTTTCTTTTTTTTTTTTTCTGATGATGATGATGATGATGATGATGATGATGATGATGATGATGATGATGATGATGATGATGATGATGATGATGATGATGATGATGATGACAGAACTGATTTGCTAACTGTACTGGCTATAGGTATTCTGTGCCATTTGAGGTTAAGCAGACTTTTACTTGGGTCTTTTAGATCTACCAACCTACCTACCTAGTCGAAGTCGAACCGTTTTGTCTAGTTCTTGAGTGACATAGATAGGCCCGAACGATGGAATCAAATATGCCACGCCAATAGGTACCTACCTAGCTTTGGCTGTTTGTTTGTTTGTTTGTTTGTTTTTTTCCCCCTTTCCTGCCGGGAGGCTCCTTTGCTGCGCGCTCCTCTCTTATTAAACAATAATCTTTTAGGTACCTACCTACCTAGGCATTCTCCAAATCTCCTTCGAGCACGTGCTTCACATAGGCAGGTACCTAGATAGCAAGAAGGCTCGATATTCTCATAGAAAGATCTCTGCAAATTTCATTGATACCTACCTACCGCTCGCTGTCTTGCAAGAGAGCTCGAAACTTTGCAAAGAACAACGCTTTCATGATTGGATGGATGGTTTAGCGCGCGGTGGTGGCGCGCCGTTGCTATACTAGAGGTATAGTTGCCGGGCTCAGGTGTCATCTTTGTCTCTTTTTTTTTTTTTTTTTTCTTTTTTTTTAAGCTTGGTACTCCTAGGTACCTATATACTGTAACGAGATCTATCCCGGATTGTCTCCCAACTGGCTAGGGGGCAAGGTAGGTACGGGTCGGAAAGGCATCAACAAGATTCAATATGGCATATAAAATTTCCAAAATACCTACCTAGCATATGCAAGGTAGAGGTAAGATTACGCTTTGGTTTTGGCCCTAACGGATCAATTGAGGTATATAAATGCTTGGGAAAGTTGACTGACTAGAGGTCTGGAACCAACGAACAAACCAGTATTGGACTGTACAAGCATGGATGATGAGATTGAGGAGGAGGAGGAGGAGGAGGAGGAGGTTGAGATCCAGAGTCCGTTGCCCCTATTCTACATAGAAGGACTGCACAAAAATAGGTAAGTAGGTAGACATACGCGATGTAGCTGGCATACAAGCATCCTCCGTACATCTTACCAGACAATGCCTCTCGAGTCTCGAGCCTAGTACAGCCCCCACTCGACATCTTGACTGTTAATGTTGCCCTTGCAGTCCATGAGGCCCTTGGCGCCGACCTTGCCGCTGCCGCCAAACTTGTTGACGGAGTCAGTGATGATATCAACAATGTCCTGGGCACCGACGTGGAACCAGCCGTTGCCGTGCTTGTTGAGGCCTTGAATACCGAACTTGCACGCGCCATACTGCACGAGCTGGTGCTGTTGGCCATTCTCGACCGTCCATTGGCCCTGGGTGCCCTGGATATTGTGGACGATACCCATACAGTCGCTAGTAGAGGGGGACGCATCGCTTGTCTGGTCCACGAAGGAGGAGGCCTCACAGTAATCAGGAGACGGCTTAATGTAGCAGGGATAGTTGTCCACGTCGCTGCTCACGCTAGTGTCCGACCAGGCGGCAAAGGCGATCGAGGCGCTGCACACCGGGATGCGAATGAAGCCGGGAGTGGTGACGTCCTGGTTCATGAGGCTATCGAGCGAGCCGCCGCGGGTAGGGTCTATCTGCTCCCCGCCGTTCTTGTTGCCGTTCTGGATGTAGGTCCTGACGGCGCCGGTGATCAGGTCGGACACCTTGACGCCGCCAAAGCGCGTGCCGTCGAGGGTGTCGATCCCCGGCGGCGCGGAGAAAGTGTTGGGTCGACATACCACCGCCTCGTCGCCGCCACTACAGTCCTCGGCGGGACCTGAAGGGTAGGCGAGGTAGTACAGCTTGCCGTTGTAGCAGCCCGCTGTCTTATGCTGAGTGTCTTTATCAAGGTACTCGCCCATAGGGTCGACCGTGCCGCAGTCAAAGCCGGAGTCCATGATGAAGGCCGTCGTGCCCGAGACGGACCAAATGCTCGGAATGGCGAAGGCAAAGAAGGCCTTGGAAATGCTGGCCCTCACCTCCGTCATCAAGGGAGAGTCGACCGTTGTATCAAGGGCATCCCTAATGCCGGAGCCACCACCGCTGGCGAAGCCATCAATGAAATGACCGTTAGCAACCAAGCTCGTCAGCAGTTCTACGTTCTCGGGTTCGCCGTTGAATAGCTGCTTGAGCGACAATTCAGTGACATTGGCCCATGCGCTGACTGCGTTACCCATGTAATCCGAGAAGGCGTCTTGCTTCTCGGCAGTCCAAGCACTCCTAGACGCATGATGGTTAGCACACATCGAGGACGTGACACTCATTAGCAAGGCGAGGTGGGGTTTCTTACTTGCTGCCTTTTGTGCCCGTAAGGGTTCCGGCAATGGACGTGCCAAAGGAAACAAGCGCCTTAGCCGTGCCCTTCCAATTGTCATATGAGACCGAGTTGGCTCTCCAGTACGGCAAGGACTTGAGAGCTAGGTACAATTTGACGTTAGAATAACTGGGTAAGACGCCATGAACAGCGGCATAGGCAAACAGGTAGAAACCAAGGACTTACCCGTGTTGAAGAAGGCGGACACGCCTACGGTACCCACTAGACCCACGCACGCTAGGAGAATCCCAAGCCACGAGTCGTCAAATTTCTTTGGAATGGGAGCAAACTGGTTCTCAAAGTCCTTCAGCACCGGGTCTAGTGATATTGCGGCGGCCTGGTACAGGGCGGTGACATAGGTGGCGTAAATCTAGATGAGATGGTTAGCAAATGCTACATATGGGTCACCAACAACCCAAGCTTTCCACTTCACACGTGCCTCATGGATGATGACCATAGAGTTCCAGATCTCATATCCTACGGCGCCAGAACCGCCGCCCTCAAAATTGCTGCTGCACTGCACGGTCTGCTCGCAGTTATTACTCAAGGCCAGCGAGCCGCAATCGGCTATGGGAGGCCCGTGGATGGTGTTGGAGACGCCTACGGTGAATTTAGTACCTGCAGGCTCCTGGTACTCAGTCCACACTTTCATGATATCCCTCCAGGCGTCGGATCCGTCCAACATGTTCCATCGCTCTTGAGGGGGTATGTGCTCGGCATTCTGTATCGCCGGGTCGGTGCATTTAAGGTCGGTCCAGTTGCCGTGGCGGTCGCCCAAAGCGTAAGGGTTGTCGCCTCTCTTGATGCTGAGCCTGAAGGCGCGCCAATCCTTGCTGATTGAGGGCGCATCGTGGTACTTCTCCAGGTCGGTGGCCCAATTGCTGGTACCACCCATGCCCAGCCCCTTGTAGATTGCGGTACGGGCGGTACGGATGCTGTCATCCATGAAGGCGACCCACTGGTTATTATCGTAGACCACGATGCGGCTGTTGCTACTGCTGTCGATGAAGTTCTGGTTGACGCGGCTGGCGTTGTTCACGATGATGTCGTTGATCTCAGCGTTCGAGATGTAGCCCGCCGTATCGGTACAGGGACCCTTGGACGCGTCGGATGCCGTCGCTGAGCCGGTAAAGAAGCAATCCTTGCTGTAGCAGCCGGCGTCAGCCATGTTGAAGGAGCGGCCATAGCTGGAGACACCGACGACGACTTTGCCCGAGTCCACACCGGCCTTGGTGATCTGGAGGAGGAGGAGTCAGAAGGGGATCAAAGTACGTACACACTGAGGGGCAAAGGGTCTTGGAATATGTCGGGCACTCAACTCACCATAGCTAGAGCCGTCTTTGTCTCGGTCAAGTTGACGTGGCTACGCAGGCAATTGCCGTTCGCACAGCCTTCTTGCGACCACTTATTACCGTAATCCCATTGGCCGTGGAGATCATAACACATAAGTACTATGTAGTCGACCACCTTGGAGATTCGAGCGATGGGAAACTGTCTGAGGTACCAGTACGATGCCGGTGCGGCAATAGACACGGTCTTGCCGGGCAACAGGTTCTTCAGCACAACCAGGAAGGCGAGGTAGTTGGTGCCTTCGTCGTCGGCGCCCGGTGGAGGACCCGGGATGTCCGGTTCCTGGAAACAGTTAGCAGCGCTCCGTGGCTCGGGTCCGCAAGGGAGGAGGAGGAAGAAGAAGAAGAAGAGGGAGTGTGCATACGCCAGGGTATTCCCAGTCGATATCCACGCCGTCCAGGCCTTTATCTTTGACAAAGTTGGCGATATTGGTTGCGAGGGTCAAGCGATTAGCGGCCGTAACTCCAGTCCGGAAGATGCTGTAAGTAGCGGCGTCTGTCGAGAAGGCCCAGCCACCGAAGGATATCACGCGGTGGACGTTGGTCATGCTTCGGAAGGCTTCGAACTCGTACGTACTGATAACATCGCCCGCTGATACTTTGAAGTCCGGGGTAATGTCACCAAAGGCAAAGTGTATGTGGGAGTACTTGTTGGTATCGATCTGCCGCACGTCCTGATATAGACAACTGCGGCCGCCCAAACTGTAGGCTTCATAGTAGCCCAGACTGATCCACTGAGCGGGCGGCTTACCCTTGACCACGTTCGTGCCGCAGTTGGAGATGCAGCCGTTGGTGTTTGGCTTGGCCGTGCCGGGGGCGCCCGTATTTGTATCAGTGCAAAACTCGGCCGTGATGCCGCACTGGCCCCAGACATCGCAACAGGCGTTGAGTGGGCATGGGTTGAGCTTCTGTATGTCATCCATGTTGTCGGGCTTCTTGGTCCCGGGCTTCTGCGGTCCGCATACGGCATTGGCCAGCGGGGCCGGCATGGGCGGCGTGCCGTCGCTGAGGTAGATGACTGCCTGGGCCATCAGTCGACTGCAGCCGCTCCATCCCCACGTCTGCTTGTTGAAGCTCTCGATTTGGTCGACTGTCAGGCTATGGGCGGCCGCGATGGCCGAACACGTATCGTCCTGTACAACGGCGTATGATGCGCACGATCCGTCGCTGTTTTTCTTGGGCGTGAAGTCGGGCAGCGTCCCGGACGAGCAGCACACGTGTTGCAGGGGCATCAGCGAGGAGCAAAGCTTCGAATCCGGGTTGTACTTTGTGAAATCGCTGGGCGAGATGCCGCACTTGGTCGCCAACTTGGCGCAGCTGTCACCCGAGGCCACCTGGATGGTTCTACATTCGGCGCGAGTCTGTAGGTGGGTGCCGCGAATCGCCCGCAAGGCTGTACTGGCGCTGTAGGTTGAGTTGGTGGTTGCGTTCGACGGTGACACCAACGGCGTCGTGAAGTCGACTGTCGCGGGTATGTTCCGCACCGTGTCGAAAGACAGGCAAGTAGCGTTCTTCCATGACCGAATCGCCTGCTGTACGGGGGTGAAGGATGTGTTGCTCGTAGCGATGAAGCCCACGATGTGGTCGCCGTCGTAGTCGTGCCCGCACAGCTGTATGGCCTTGCTGCCGCCCGTGTTGTTGGCAGCGTACAGCGCATTCTCGAAAGCAACGAGTGCGTCTGGCGCCGTGGACTGGATGTTGACGTTCTTGCCGAGGTAGAGGCCGGCAGTGCCAGTGACGGTTTGCACGAACAACACCAACGACTGCTTGTTGTCCGAGGTATAGCCAGCTGCCAGAGCGCGCCGCACCGACCTGGACAGACTGCGCAGGTCGACGCCGTGATGGGGAGCCGTCTCGTTCCAGCCGCCAAACTCAAGTGTGACGTTGGTCGGCGTGTGCGTTGTGTCCGCGTTCGCCTTCATCTGGTTCATATCCGCACCAGGCTTCTGAAGCGCACCGTACGACGTGCAGGCGTAGATGCGATGTCCCGAGCTGCCGTCATCCACATCGTCATAGATGGAGAAGTGGTAGAAAACCGTCTCCTTGCAGTGCGCCACCTGGCTCAGGCTGTGGTAAGCCGGCCAACTGCCCGGATCGGGCCCCGTAACACTGCAAAGCGTGGGGCAGTCGTCTCGCCCCCGATAGGATACGGAGGCCGGTTGCCGCAGGTTTGACATTGGCGACCCGGCCTCCACAGTCCCAAAGGAGAGGAAGAGAGCGGCCGCACTGAGGACCGTTGCCGCCCGTGAAAAGAAGGACATGATAGTGATGAGGACCAAGAAGAGAAGGGATAGATAGGACGATTCGATGGAATCATGGAAGCAATATGTCTGCCGGGGCCTCCTTGCCTAGCTGCTCATCGAGCTGCCTTGCCTTTTGTATAAAGAGGCCAACGGGGACTTGTAGACGGATCACCAACCAACATCGACACGATCCAATCCCATCGAAATGTGGAAGCACGTTCTCATCAGAGTCCTCCAGCCGCGGTAGACTGATCCTTCAGCACACCACGCAGTTCATGGGTGGAATTGCAAGGGCCGTGATGGACATGGTCCATATGCCGGTCAACGACATGTTGACATCGTTGCCACTTGACAGAACCAACATGTGTTCGTTCCGGATGCTTTTAGAATCATGCGAAATGAGGTGCGAGAAGCGAAAGAGACGTTGGCATGCAAATGCCACTGTGCTTTATAAAGGACTAACACTGGCGCGTATGTAGTCCGCTTGTTGGTGGTTTGTGAGGTAGGGGGTTGAAGGGTGAAGAAAGCAGGGTGACAGCGCCAGAACAGAACTAGAGGTAGGTACTAGCCTCCTATGTAACTCGGATCGGTGACTGAATTTGATATGGCTGTGAAATGCGAGTAAACGGGCGTCTCTCGAACCGGACCTCGCCGTCCCTTCCTTCACCAACGGACAGAGGTAGCAGGACGCCCCTGGAGGTGAGATGTCTCATAATAGAGTTAAGAGGCACAAACACCCAACTGCTTAGTGTAAAAGTGAAGGGAGTGAACATGGGCACAAGGCACGAAAGAATGGTTGTGAACTTGTTGATTGAAGAACAAGAAAAAGAGGAAAGGAGAACCGGTGAATATGAGTGCATATGAGACGCGAGTAATATATATGTGTGGATCGACAAGCATCTTGCTCAAAAGACTATGTCTGCTCTACAAAAGCTGCATGGCAACCAAAGCCGCGACGAAGCCGCTTAGCATGGCTGGGAACCCAGCCTTTGTATCCGCCGCCGCCGCGTTCTGCTTGCTGGGACAGCTCACCAAGGGGCTGACGGCATCCGCGCATGCCGTGGCTGTGAGGGCGGCCGAGATGCTGCTTGCTGTGGCCGAATCCACGTGGACTGCACACGGGTCGCCGTCCACCAGGGGCTGCACGTCCGAGAGCACGGCGCACGAGTTGCGGCCGTCGTACTGCGCCGGATACACGTCTAGAGTGCCCGTGAGATTGAAGGCGAAATGGCTGGCGTTGGTACATAAGGCGCTGTTTGTCGTTGCCCCCACGAGGTCGGGGTTCGGAGCGCCGTTTGCGATGGTAAATGTCACACCGAGGCTACGGAAGCCACCGCCGATAAAGGGCAGGCCCCCGTGGGAGCAGTTGCGGGCGCCAAGCTCCCACGACAGCATGTAGGACGTCGGCGCCCCGTCGGCTGTTGTGTTGAGTGTCGAGATATACGTGTACACAAAGGTGGGCTCGTTGGAAAAGTTGGTCGACTTCAGGTTCAGGGTAGAATCATTCGCGTGACTGAAGGTGCTATCCCAGAGCAGCAAGTCAAGGGAGGGGTCGAGCGACGAAGCCAGCGCCGCGTTCTGGAAAGCGAAGACGATGGGGAAGAGTATCGACGGCGCATACGTGTCGTTGCGTGGGAAGATCAAGTCCACCTCGACCGTCGCTGGGAAGGTGGCTGCTCCAACCTGCATTGCCCAGAGCAGCACGGCTGAGAGGAACGCTGACATTGTATCAACTGGTCGGAGAAGGGATAGTGATGATGTTGAAGCAGTGATAGAATCAAGAGAGACAAAGGTCGGGTGAAGAGAGAGACGAGCATAAACTCACAAAGTTGGAAGGAAAGAGAGTTATGGGCATGGCGGGTCCAACGTTAAGCGAAGCTACATGCGGCTCTGTCATACTTGGGATCCAATCATGGCGTAGCTCTCGGCCACATGTTCAACTTTTCTAGACTCTAATAGAGTAGGTAGCATTTTACCCAGACGTAGGACGGGAAATATCCTCACCAACGTTGGCTTGAAATCCTTGACGGCGAGAATATCCTACAGATGCCATGTCAGGCAGTCGCCATCGACACATGCCACGGAGCAAGTATAAATGGCTCTGATGAGGACCATGACCACGTGGTCCATCTGCCTCTTCCTATAAGCCGTGGTCTTTAAAGGCCTGGCTTTTTATCAGCTAGGCGGCTTGTCGAGCTTTTCATATCTCCATGCACTGATTGTATGTGGTGGGACAAAAGAATCGTGAGGATTTACCCTTTTATAAGTGATCTCGTGAGGTTAGTATCCGGTACTCAAGTGTCTCAACCTCTCGCTTGTTTGATTGGGGTTGGGCTGGTTGGTGCAAGTGTTAGTATGTACGTGGCAATAGCACCATGTTCTTAACAGACCTGTTTGAGGTAGGTCCCCATATTCACCCATGCATGGCATGGCTTGCATCTTGTTCCTGACTCCTGAGTGGTCAGGTCAGGCGGCCCCGCTTAAGCCGAAGAAGAGGCTGGAGGGCGCGCGGGACTTGGCTGAACTGTCAATGACTCCATAAACAATAACAATAACAACAATCTACACGTTTCTCTTATTGAATTGCCATTTGACAAATTCATGACTGATTCCAACATTTGTCATTGCAAACTGATAGTGGAGTTGCCGATACCCACTGATCTGAGGAGCCTCAAGTGGAAAGGCTGTTGACAAACTCCACCACACAGTAGCACAAGACGCGGGAATCCACAGATCCACCCGCCCGCCGCGCTCGGCTCTGGGGCTAGACCAGGAACAGCAGGGCAGCTCCCCCATTTCCACTTTAGTTCCCACTGCACCCCTGAATTGCCCACATCCACATCCACATCAACAACAACCGCGCCCGAACAAAGCCTTGCCACGTTTCGTTTCCTTGGTTGTTCCAATTTGGTTTCAGCATTCAACTCCCGATAAACTACCTAGGACAACATAAAAAAAAATATCACTTCCCCCGACACAAACCGGGAATGGCTACACTGAAAACACCCCATCATGGCGCCATCGTATAGTAGCAACGGGGGCTACGGCTACAGCAGCTCATCCTTCCAACCCAAACACCGCCGCTCCGACTCGACCTCGTTTCTCGACGACCTGCGCGCCTTCCTCGCCCACTCGTCCCGCTCCGCCTGGCGCTTCTGGAGGGAACGCGGTCGCTTCATCGCCTGGGCCGCCCTCATCAATGCCGGCCGAAGACTGCGCATGAACCTGACGTATAACCGCCTGTTCAGCTTCCCGCACTTGTTGGTGGCCGCGTGGATCGTGGTCTTGCTTTGGGGCGAGAGATGGGTGTTTCATTCGGCCGTGGAGGAGTGTGAGTGGGAAAAGTGGGAGAGATGGGTAAGAATGACTAACCATATTTCCTGTTGTGTATGGGATAAGGAGAAGGAGAAGGAGAAAGAAAAGCTGCTAATAATCGTGTGACTATAGCCCGCCGGCGCGAACCCCCACCGCCTCGTTCTGGTGGCCGATCCCCAGCTCATCGATCCTCATTCGTACCCCGGCCGACCGTGGCCACTGAACCCGTTGACCATGACGATTGTCGACAACTATATTCGCCGATCTTACACACAGATGCAATCGCAGCTTGATCCCGATACGATATTCTTCCTGGGCGATCTTTTCGACGGCGGACGCGAATGGAAGACAGCACATGGAGATTTCAGAGACCCGGAATGGGGTCCGCATCCGAAAGACGAGCAGAAATACCTAAAGAGTTGGAATAAAAAGTATAATGAGTTTTACTGGTTGAAGGAGTACGCGAGGTTTGGCGAGATCTTCTTTACTCCGTGGCTTGAGGCCGGGCAGAAGCCGGAGAACGAACATAAGAGGAGGAAACTGATTGCCAGCCTTCCGGGGAACCACGACTTGGGATTTGGTGCCGAGATCAAACTCCCCGTGAGGAACAGGTTTGAGGCGTACTTTGGCGAGGGCAACCGCGTGGATGTGGTTGGAAACCATACGTTTGTTTCGGTCGACACGGTCTCGATGAGCGCTGCTAGCTTGTCGGAGATTGCCAGGCAGGATGTACAGCCTATTTACAAACCGACGGAACACTTTCTCAACCAAGTGAAGTGGACGAAGCAGAAGGCGGTGGAGAAGGAGCTGCGGTATCTGAGGGGAGAGGTTCCCGAGGTTAAGCTCCACCACAGGATTGAGGAGCTCAACCAGGCCAACTTCAAGGATCAACCGCGTCTTATCAACGATGAGAACAGCCAGAAGGTTCCCGACCTCCCGACGATCCTTCTCACCCACGTCCCACTCTACCGACCACCCGGCACCCCATGCGGCCCGAAGCGCGAACATTGGCCCCCTACACCACCGCCCAAGGGTCAAACCGAGCCCGTATTTCCCGACCACCGAAACGCCATCTCCGTGTATCGAGGCTACCAATACCAGAACGTTCTCGACGAGAAGCAATCCATAAGCTTGATCGAAAAGACCGGCAACGTCATCCACGCCTTCTCCGGCGACGACCACGACTACTGCGAAGTAGTGCACGCGCCCAACCAAGGTTCAGTCCGCGAAATCACCGTCAAATCCATCAGCATGGCCATGGGCGTGCCCACCCCTGGCTTCCAAATGGTCAGCTTATACAACCCGCTCGACCCCGTCACCGGCAAGCCCCTGGCAGGTGACGGCCAACCCACGATGCAAACCCACCTCTGCCTGCTCCCCAATCAAATCAGCACCTACCTGCACTACGTCGGCCTCGGCATTTTCTGCGTCATCCTCCTCACCATCCGCGCTTTCTTGGTCCCCGTCCTCAACCTGCCCCGATTCTCCCTTGACTCCGACACCGACAGCCATCCAAGCGGCATCTCCATCCTCCCCGTCTTCAAAGCCAAGCAAGAAGATTACGACGAATACAGCCTTCCCTCTGCCGGATACTCGGCCTCATCCAAGTACTACGGCTCCTCAGGCACTTCGGGCGAACGACGAACTCGTACCGCGTCCGTCAGTTCTTCTTCACTAAAATCAAATAATTTCAGAAACGGGCACAACGAAAAGAGTGGAAGTAGTAGTGGGAGAAGCAGGAAATCGAGCGTTTACAGTAATAGTAATAAATCAGTCAAAGGGTGGTCGTGGGGTGGCAAGCATGGGCATCATCATTATCATGAGCCGAGGATTGAGATCCCGGGGGAGAATGAGGAGGATCTGTATTATGGTGGGGCGTTTACGAGTTCGAGTTCTTCAAAGTGGAGGGCGAGGCAGAGTAGGAAGAACCAAAAGCCCAAGACGGCCATGGGCGTGGTGGTGACGGAGCTGTGGACGACGGTTTGGAGGGTGGCGTGGATGGTGGTGGTGGTTTTTGGGTGGTTGGCTTGGAAGGGGTGAGTTGGCCCGTTGCATTGTAAAGGGGAGGGAATTGAAGATTGGGGGAAGTAATAAAGATGAAAAAATGGTTGTAGCGGGTGTGAAAGGGATGTTATTTGATAAAACCATCCAGGGGCATTAAATAGGTGCCGGTACATACTATGAATCTTATCATATTCACATGGTTTCAACAACTGGACCGTCTTTATACTCCGTCGCATTTGCTCATGACGAGGCGCCTTTTTCTTGATGCTCTGTGTAAACTCGCCCGAGCTAGACCTTAAAAGCAATACTGACAAATAACTCCGAACACCAACCCTGAAGAACCGAAACATACAGTAAGTACCCTTTGCCCAAGTCCAATCAATAACTCGCTCCTTGGTCCCACAACAGCCGCATAGGTATACAAGACATGTGTAACCCAGCCCGCAGATTCAAATATATGTGCAAGCCAATGGCCCATGAAACACCCAAACATCAGTCTTCCTCCATCTTCTCCGTCTGCTCCTCCTCCTCCTCAGGAACAGGAACAGCATTCTCATCACCTCCCTCCTCCCCCTTATTCTTCTTCTTCTTCTTCACCAACACCAAATCCGTCTTTAACTCCTCCTTTCCACCCTCCTCCGTCACGACCTTTTCCACAACAGCCTCAACCTCCTTCAACCCCTCCTCATCAAAGATCTCTCCTCCTTCGAACTCATCCTCCTCTTCCTCCTCTTTTTTCCCATCCTTTCCCTCCTTCTCCCCAATACTATTTCCCTCCTCCTCATCAGCAAATATCGATTTTCCCTCCACCAAACTCCAATCCACCCTTCCTTCCTTTCCATACCTTCCTTCCAACCACTCATTCCCCTTTTTAAAATGCCCCGCATCAAAAAACCCTCTATGCGCACTCAACGGACTCGGATGCACACTCCTCAACACCAAATGTCTTTTCCCATCCACCTTGGCCATCCTCTTCCCTGCCGGCGCTCCCCACGCCATAAACACCACCCCCTTTTTCTGTCGCTCATTCACCAGATCAATAACCTTTTGCGTGAACCGTTCCCAGCCGCGGTTCGCGTGGGAATTGGCTTCGTGCGCGCGGACTGTGAGGCATGTGTTGAGCAACAAGACGCCGCGGGTTGCCCAGGGGGTTAAGAGCCCGCTCTTGGAAGGCGGGGGGACGAAAGAGGGGTAGTCTCGTGAGAGGCCGATGAAGATGTTGCGGAGGGAGGGCGGGGCGGGCGTGGGAGGCCGCACGGAGAAGGAGAGGCCGTGGGCTTGGTTGTGGTTGTGGTAGGGGTCTTGGCCGAGGATGAGGACGCGGACGGCGGGGAGGGGGGTGTGGCGGGACCTGTGTGTTTTTTTTTTTTTTTTGTTAGTGGAGGGGGAAAAAAAAATGAGGGAAAAAGGGGGGGGGGAAAGAGGGAGGAAGAGGAAAAAGAGGGAAAAAAAAAAAAAAAAAAAAAAAAAAAGGAAAAACAGAGGGGGAAGAGAGGAAAGCGTACCAACTATATATATCCTCCTTGGGCGGGAATATCGTCTTGGTCTCCCACTCTTTCTTCAAGAACCTTTTCAAGTCCAAAAACTCCTTGGTTACAATCTCCTCCTTCAGATGCGCCAGCCAACTCTCGTCGAGGGTATCGATCTCCAGCTGCAAAAGGTCGCGTTGCTCGGGCGTCAGAGAAGCTACCCATTTCTCCTTGTTGAACTTTTTGGTTACGGTGACTGGGTCGGGGGTAGCGGTAGTAGTAGTACTACTGTTGCTGTTGCTGAGCTGACTTTGGCTGCGGCTGGTTGATCGGGTGGTTGTGGTTGTGGTTGTAGGAGAAGAATTGAGTGGGCCGCCGGGCTTGGGAACACCAAAAAAGGACATGATGTTGCCGTTTGGTTTGGGCTTTTTGGCGTCGGAGGAAGGGCCAGGCTGGGAGGAGCCGGCTTTGCGTTTGAGAGAGGACATTGTTCTGGGTGTGAGAGGTCGTGGTGGTGGTCGTGGTGGTCGTGGTGGTTTGTGGAAAAGAAATGATATCCGCCGACTTTCAAGATGGCCCAAAGATGCCGTGAGGTTCCTTGAAGCCGTGATGGTTGATGACCTTGAGGGTGAGAACTTGTTGATCAAGTGCAAAGAGACGTTGTTTGAGACGGTGGAGTGAAGTCGAGACTCCAATCTGAGATTTTCTCGAGTGGAAAATGTCTTTTAGATTCGGGCACTCTTCAATGGGATAATAATAGCTGGGGGGGAAAAAGCACAGTTCCTTCCTCTGTTTGCTTTTCTTACAAATGTTATCAACCACCTCGCCCAATTGAAGTGACGACGAAACAACGCTAAAAAAAAAAAAAAGCAAAAGCGCGTCTTCACTCTCCAGCCCTGCAAGGTTCTCTCTTCTCCAACAAGGACGCGACTTTTGGCGTCATTGTTCATTCAATTAAGACTCTAGTCTACGTCTAGTCGGCCCCACCGATGCCGCCGTTGAAAGCGGATCCCGTCCCGCCGCTCCGCATTGGACCTGGCCCCGCCTGCCGAGGTTAGCGCAAGTGCTGGAGTCAACTGGATCCGCCGAAATCGGGCACTTGCCGGCTGAGTGGTGTGGAGACGGGGGGCCTTGCTGGCCTGCATCTTCTCTTCTTGCTTGTAACATCGTCTGAAGTTGCTTCTCTTGTTGAGGAGTCACTTTTTGCAAAGTACAGTCCAACCCGCTTCTACAAGTACATTAGTAGTTGGAACTAAAGCAAGCTTCATTCTAGAATGCTGCGCCGAACATTTATTTATTCGGCGGAGTTTAGTACGACATCACATCCGGCCCCGGGTTTTACGGAAGAGGTGGAGGCCGCTGACTGGATCATCCCGTCGCATCTTCCGTCCAACGCTCATCTGGATGCCGAACTCGCCGAGGTATGGTCGCACAAGATTCACCTATTTGAATGCTGCACCGCCAGATGAGGCGCTGGGCAATGTTCTTTGGGGGCTTAAATTTCCGATATCAAGCCTCATGTCGAATGGGCTAAAACTGAAGCTTATGAAGTCATCACAGTGATAGATATATTGATCTGGATTGTCAAATTTCATTATGCCATGTTGGGGTTCACTAAGGGGTAGATGCGTGGACACGAATAAAATGGAGAAAACGAAGATTAATGAAAAGGAAAAAGGGTAAGTGAATGGGAAAAGAAGAAGGGCATGAAGAAAACAGTACGTGCAAATCAACACTCTGATTATTGGGATTGACTTGATCTGTGAGAGAAACTGAAGACGCAGAACAGACTGAAGAGTCACCAGTCTCCCTCTACTTACCTTCCACTTACAAGCAAGCGACTCAGCGTTGTACCACACTCACACAACGCACGTCATCTCAGCTAGCTAGAATAGAATGCGACCAAGTTGTACAAGGAGCGGGTATTACTTTGCATTGATGTCTTGGGATGAATGAATATGATTAAACCGGGGTCTGCGAGATTTTTGTTATTAGTTAAGGACTAGAGTTGTCGACCAGCAAGAAAAATATGGGTTGTATTGAGGCGAGTTATAAATCATGGGAGCGTTTGCAGTGCAGTTCTGGACTTGGGTCGACACACCTTGTCTGAACAGTAGTTGCTGTGATGATAAGCTTTACAGATTCCAAGTTTGACTAACCATTACACGATTACGACGCTTCATACTATATTCGTCATTTATGCTCAGCCAGGTCCATCTAGTTTGTGGTCGGCTGGTCGCGCAAAGCGATTATGGTTTTGGGACGTGGAGGAGCGACCATGTGTAGCGTGTGTTTGCAAAGAGCTGAATGAGTGAGTTTAGCAGCTATCCCTGACTTTTGACCTCGACCTTTTCTTCGCGGCCCTTTTTACCAAACTTTCCAGACTTTACAAACAAGCTCACCTGTCCATAGTCGTTGCTGGCGTGTCTAGGTTTGGTGGTTTGGTGTGAGAATGCGCTTCAGCATTACCCAGCCAGTCCTTTGATCATATTGTGAATGGAATATTCTTGCGACAGACCCATGGCTCAACGGTGTCATGATCAACAACGCACATGGGTTGTAAGGACATGGACCCATGGGATACACCTAGACGCCTCGGTTATTAGGCCGTAGATCCTCTGAGCTCAGGAACGAGTGGAGTTTCCATCCTCCAAGTGGTAAGTCACCCGGCTAGTCCTGGTGTTTGATTGGCCAGCGTTTTCTTTTTTCCTTTGGAACTCATTGAAATCCCGGACGGAGAAGCGTTGAAGTCAAAGAAATTGCAAAAAGCATAGCGAGGAAAGAGGAATGTGTGGTGGAGTAGGAAGATGGCACTGAATGCCTTGGACAGTCAATAATGTGTTTCAGTAAACGCAGAGATAATTAATTACCAGCGGAGTGGTTCCGAACGGACACCAGGATCGTCGGGAGAAAAGTGGAAGTGAACGAACGAGTGGTGTTTTTTTTTTTTTTTTTTTTTTTTTTTTTGCTAGGGACGGTCAGAAACTGGAGGCTCCATGGGATGGCGTGCACCAAAAGAAAGCCAAGCGGCTATGGGGTGGAAGGGCGAACGCTAATCAATCCCAGACAGCGCTGGTCTTCTAGCGGCAAAGACGTGCACACACAGTACCATAGTGCTGAAAATCCGGGCGGTGATTGTCGTTGCATATCGTCTCCATAGAAGATGGAAGTTTTGGAGAAGGGTTGAAGACGTGGAGGACAAGAGAAACTGGATGAGAGATGGAAGCTCGTTTTCGGTTTTCTCATTGCAAGCAAAGAAGATAAGTGTCAAGTCCCTTCCTGCAAGCAACATAACGAGTATAACCCATTGCTATCTCTGACTGTGATGGCGATAGCCTCAAAAGAGCGGCTCCGCAATCCATTCTTACACTACAGTATTAGCCAACTGAACAAGGATTACTAGGCCTGACAAGGAAAGCCATGCCAACGCAGAGAACCTTCGGGACGGCAAGTCGGGGTTAGCCTGTCTAAAACAAACGACCAATGAGGTCTTTGACGCTGATTGACCTTGCAGACCAACTGGCAGTGCGATATCGATGGTTTGCTGTGACGGATGAGGTGGCAGCTTCTCATTCACGCTTCCCAGTATCCGGGGCGAGCGGGAAGAGAAGGATACGGCATGACCGGATGAGCAGAAAAAGGCAACCTAGAAGAGGAGAAAGGGGTGAAAAGGGCGATGACTGCTGGGATGACAGTTTGGACATTGATGTCTCTGTCACAGCTTGCGAGTCAGTATTCGGCACATTAGGGCGCGGAGGCGAAATGTTTGATTCCTTCCAGTTGCACGGCAGGACGATGGTACGCCCGATGCCGTGATGTAGATGCAGTACACCACTGCTGATTTTGTACGTCGTCGTTCCTGATTCTGTATGGAGAGGAGAGACGGAGACGAGAGTCTGGAGGATCAGCTGTTGTCTACCTAGGTACCTAGGTAACTTTTTTTCTCCATTCGAAAGCTGTGGCTTTGGTTTTCATCCGTGGCCCGGGTGCTTGCCGAGAATTATATTTCCGGAAACGAGCAAGACCGGCAATCCAGTTGATATTCGCAGCTGGAGGCGAGTATATGTTGATTGAATTGTGCAACATCTGTAAGACATTCAATGTTCATAATTCGTGGTGGAGCTGAAGCCTTGGCCCGAAACAAAGACGAGACAGGCGCTGGAGGGACAAATTGATGACCCCGCCATCGTCACTGCCCCGCCTGCACAATCTGCACTCCAGAGACAAACTGGGCTGCAGAAGGCCCCAAGTGGAGAAGATCCCCAGGGGCCCCCGTGTCAATTTCCCCCACGGTGCACCGTCCGCCATATGTACCGCAGTAGTAGTTCATCTTATTAAACTACTGGCTGTTGGTGATATCAGCTCCAAGCCTCCTCCACACTCTTTCAGAAGAAAGGCCACGGATATGGGCGCCCAGTTGGGGTTGGGCCGTCATTTCAGGAAGCCCACAAGCCCAGTTCAGCCCCAGATTGACTATACCCAAACATCGTCTTCCGGGTAGCCCGGCAGAATTTACTGAAGCGCAGCTGTTAGAGGTCTAGAGCTGGATTACTCTAAGTAAAAGCCTAACAATTTGGCGGTCTACTACGAGTGCAATGCTGGATAACTCTAAGTAAACTTCAAAACTTGGCGGTCTACCACGAGTGTAATGCTGGATAACTCTAAGTAAAAGCCTAATAATTTGGCGGTCTACCACGAGTGCAATGCTGGATAAATCTAAGTAAGTACAATGTTGGATAACTCTAAGTAAAAGCCCAACAATTTGGCGGTCTACTACGAGCGTAATGCTGGATTCCTCCAAATAGTGAAAAAAAAAAAAAAAAAAAAAAAAAAAAAAAAAAATTAAAAAAAAATTGGAGGTCAGGATTTATAGAGTAGACCCCACCTTAATGCCTCATAGAAGCCGAACCTGAGGCTTTCCATCAATAGTACTCGAGGGATAGCCCGAGACTTATACACGCCTTAATCTCACGCCAATACGAATATTACTAGCGATTCTATTTAGAGCTCGGCTATATACTAATACTATTTAGACTTTTATAGGTAGTTTACCCCTAGTATAGTCTAATTGGATAGTTATCCTCCGCTTACTTCCTTATCGGTCTTGGGTCTTATAGTCTTAGGTCTTATAGTACAGTACGGTACAGCGCTTTATCTTAAGTTACACGGCTCTCTTATCTTAGGGTACAATTAATCGGTCGGTCGGTTAGTCGGTCGGTCGGTCGGTCACTCTATAGTCAAATTAGTAGGGTTATTAAATCTAAATCTATATTCGAATTAATAGTTTTTTTTTTTTTTTCTATTTATCCAAATACGAGTCTAGAGGGTCGAGGAGCAGTCCAGAGAATCGAGCATCGAGTCCAGGGAATCGAGGATTTCTAGGAAGGGAGGCCGATCCGGACTAGTCCTGTAGGTAGAAGTATAGTTCACCTCCACTTAAGCTATAGAACTATTATAGCTAGTCGTTACTTAGGACCGGTAATAGAGCTTACGGGAGTATAGTTTATATAGTAGAGTTCACTACGAGATAGTAATATTAATTATAGTATTAAAAAGTTAATAAGAATAGTAATATTAGAGATAGTAGTGCGGGCGGTATTGAGATATGAAAAAGAATAGTAATATTGCAAATTGCATTGAAGTGCGAAAAAGCGTAGTAATATTAGAAATAGTATTGAGATGTAAATAAAAGTGGTAATATTGGAAATAGTATTGAGATATTTATTCCATTTTATTCTATATTGTACTATATATTGCCTATATTAATGAGATTTATCCTATTTACTAACCGTATACTCTAGCCATTTTCCTATTATATAATTATAACTTCCAATACCTTCTCCTACTACTAATT